TATATGAAAATTGTTATCAAAGGGGCTAGACTGGGACTGGAACCCTGGAATTGATATTGTTATGCTGTATTTCTCTAAGCGACTGAGCCACTTACCAGGTAGTCAATGGATCGGGAAGTGTCTTCATTGGCCCAAACAGTTATCCAGAAACAAATAAAGAGAGGTTACTGTATATCGTATGAAAAACCAGTGCCGTGGGATAGTGATCCTTAATAATATTTTAACAATATTTTTATTGTATTTCAGAAATGAGTAGAAAACAGACACCGAGTGAATTTTTGAAGCAAATTATTGGGCGCCCTGTAGTAGTGAAGCTGAACTCAGGTGTGGATTACAGAGGTAAGGTATATTTACCTTATGTTGTGTCTTCCTTATTGTGACATTTGTAAGCATTTCTTACGAAAAAGACATCCATTTTGGTATTTTCCTCTGCCCGTCTTATGTTTTATTAATTCATTGCAAAAGATAAGCAAAATTTCTAAATTTTAGAACTTCAATAAAAATTAATATGTTGTCGTTGTTGAAAGTTGCAACAAGTTAAATTTAAAAAAAAAACTGATGTTAGTATGTTGTGTACTGTTGGATTCCTGGTTCCTTGGACCACAGACCTGCTAATTTTACCGGGGAAAACAAATTGTATTGAATTAGGGCAGACTTTATCTGCTTGAGAAATGGAATCATTAGACAATTGGAATAAAAATTGCTCTAATCACTTGATTCGCTTGTATCTGAAGGTGTGCTAGCCTGTTTGGATGGGTACATGAACATTGCTTTGGAGCAGACAGAGGAATATGTAAATGGCCAACTAAAAAACAAATATGGCGATGCTTTCATCAGAGGGAACAATGGTAGGTATATAAATTCTATGAACGGCATATATTTCACAAACATTCCTTGACATAACACTTTCCATAGGAAAGCTATAATGACAGTTAGGGAAGCTAATGGGTGTGTATATATGAAACCAAGCCTGGCAGAGCTTGAATGATGCAATTTTGAAAAGGTGAATTGCAAAATTGAAGTTTTACTTTTCTCCAGTACTTAAGTTATTTTATTGAATGTAATATCTGAATGCTAGACTACTGAAGTAGAAGTTTAGACTAAGCGAGGTATTTTTCAAAGGCTTGGCTTCACCACACATCTAATATTGAAAATGATTTAAAACATGTCAACAACTGTAGATGAATCTGGATTTAACTGTGCCACTCATAATATGTTGATCCAGATGTGGCCTACCTCCCTGATACAATTAATAATGAAACAGCCCTCAAAACAGACTAGGAATGCATCAGACAAAATGCTTAACCAATAACAAATTTGAGTCAGTAGTGTCGATCGCGTCGGTATCAAGAAATTAACTTTTGCTGCGATTGTAAAGTATGTATATTGATTGTTTCCAAAGAAGTTGAAATAACATCGACTTGTCCTGATTTATTTGATTGTGCATCAGAAATAGTCTGACACACATTTGTTTGCTAGGTGGTTTAAATAATATCTTATTATTTCCAAAATGACAAATTACTTTAAAATGGACACAGCAAAAATTACCCCAAAACAATAAAATTGACAAATGTTAATCTATATGAAACATGAAAAATAATTATATAGATGTCCTTATTTATTGGTTCAATGCATAAAGGGAAATCACTTTTAGCAATGAAATTCTTCTCTTTCTTTTCAGTATTATACATCAGTACGCAGAAGAGGAGGGTATAAATATCCGAGGGAGAGGTAGTTGTGAGAACTTGGTGTGAGAAAGTGAGAGTGGATGTGCTGGAATATGAGTGAATATATTGTGTAAAATAAAATGGAAGCTGTATACTGAATTTGTGGGCTAGAGGAAATCACAGGAAAGGAGACAGCTGTGATTTTTATATTTCAAAAAAAGTGCTCGGAACCATCACACAACAAATGCAAAAAGGAGGGAGACAACTGCGATCTTGAGAAAACATATCTAAAAATTGCCACCATTACATAGCAGAATGCATGGAGGCAGATTCCAAGGAAAAGGACACCTTTCTTAATAGGAATTTGGACTTGGCAAGAAACAAACTGTTGTGAATTTGATAATGGACCATATGTCTTAGGCTAAATGCTTAAGTAACATTAGCTCATCCGATGTCAGGAAATTGATTCTATTGTCAACATGGATTCAGTCTATGTATGCATTGAGACCTATGGTTGCATTCAGCTTTAGGGGCTGGCGAGGAATGTTACAAAAATGTATGAAAAATATGTCAATAAGATTCATCAATTTGGAAATATGTAATATCAAAAATTTACTTGATACACAAACGATGTATATGTTAAACGTGTCCCAACCTTTCAGATCCAACTAGTGCCTGTATGTCAAGCTAAGACTTGACACGAGTCATAGCTTGACAAAGGGACCAGTCAGTCTATAAACTTTGTGACACGTTGAACACATACATTGTTTGTGTATAA